CCTTTTCAAAAAGTTTAATTTTCGGAACTCAGGGCTAAAATGTACTGGGCTAGACTCAGTTTTCAATGGTGAATTTAACAAAAAAAGTTTGAGTTGGTAGCAGCTTTCTAGAAAAAGTTATGAGTATTTTTCGAAAAGTAAGAAATTTTGGAAGTTTTTGGAGGTTTTCAGTATTTTGGAATTTTCTCCCCCCAAAACAAAACATTTTTGAACTTTCAAGGTGATATTCGTGATCAACATCAAATTCTGCATCGGATGGTGTACCTTTTAGCGAAAAACAAAAAGTGCTCGAAATTTGCTTTACGTGCATGCACCTTATATTAATTTGTATGTCTCATACTTTTTCTTTACTTTAAACTAGTGTCATTTTTATTTTCTCGTTTGATGCCAGACAGATATGACAGCATGCAATGGAGTTATCCTAGACTTGTTTTACTTTATTCTATTTTACTGGGTAAACTGATTTGAATTAAATACACTAAAAAATCTGTTTTTTGTGTTGGAATGCAACACGTCGCACTTCCTACGGGAAAAAACTGCAATTGCAAAATTTTACACCATCACGATTATCAAGGTGCGGTTGTAAGACTGGTATGAGAGACACTGTCTCAATAAGCATGTCTTTTCCTGTTCTAACCAGTTATCCATAGTTTTGGCGGATGTTTCGCTCACTTTTGATTGAGATAGATGTAGATGTCATTGACGTGATCGAAAGTCTGTGTATTTTGAGTTCTGGCACCTGAAGGTTAAAAAATCGATCTCTGGCAATCTGTCTCTTTTTCCTTTCTAAATTTCATTAAATTTTAAATAAGCTTACAGATCTCCGAATCTGCATGATAAACCGACAGCCCGTTCTGTTATTTTAAGGTCATGACTACACAAAAAACGTAAAACTTTTCATCGTAAAAAATGTTTCTTATTAAAGTGTCGGAAATTCAAATTCTGGTTGAATCATACATCATTAGAAAGAGCGCATCGAAATGAGTAAGAAAAGGTTGATTGTAGCTTTTCGAAACATTTTTTTCCTGTCGAAAAAACTGATTTAGCATCAAAAATTGATTCTAAAAATGACGTTGAATTGACTGCGAAAGCATTAGTCTTTTGATAGCCAACATCGGATCCTTTTAAATGGTACTAGTTTATTTTGTAAACCCATCTAGTTAAGTTAATAGTTGTAGCCGAAACTGTTATCTCATCTTATTCGTTAGACAATGGGCTGCATAAGTACATATCGTTTTTTTTAAATTTTGCTCCATCGTTGAGAAATTTCACTTCGGTAAGATTTCGCCTTTTCTGCATCAAAGTTTGACTTTCCGACAAAAAGAAAAGATCATATTAAGAATCAGCGTCAAAAACTGAGTCGAATGATGTGAGTTTTAGAATCTTTTGACAACTTCGATTCCTATATAAATGTTGGTTTTTTCCGCTTTTAGTGAAGAAACATGCATGATTTAGTGGAAAAAATCATTTACTTCTCTTAATGTATAAGAAGTAAGAAATGGATACTATACCGTACAAAAGACGAAAGACAAAGAAGTCTTGTCACTTCAATCTATAGTATAACTTTGGTACTTCAAATTGATAGAAAAGGTGGAAATGAGTCTTTCACCCGAAGGTTGAGTACGGGTACGAAGTTGTCGGGTACGGATTCTATTTTTTTTAATTTACCCGAAAACCGGAGGTTCTAGTGGAAAACCCACAGAATTTTAGTGGAAAAACACAGGAGTTTAGCTAACATACATGAAGATTTAAAAAAGAATTATTTGAGAAAGTAATGATAATTTGACATCTTCAGCCGAAAAACAAAAGTTTTTAGCTGGAAAACAATAAGGAGAAAACTTTTAAGCAGAAGTCAGATACGGGTACAAAGTTGTCGAGTCGGGTACGGGTGGAAAAACAATTTTCGGGTCGGGTACGGGTACGAAAGTGGTATCCGTGCACATCTCTACAGCGAGGTGTACAGCGAGGTGATTCTGGTCCGAAAAATGTCGTGATTCCAATGAGATCTTGATATCGTACAACGTAATCAATTCTACTGATTCCGAATATGCAGTAATTCACGAGAGCTTCTCCAATGACATGAATACAATAAAGACAATTAGAATTATGATAAACGGATTCGCGCGACTCATTCGGCAGCCGGTATGTTGCGAGCATAGATAATTTTTAATGTACGCAAGCATAAATATGTACTATAGCCTTGCTCTTCTACTACAGAACCTGCAACAAAATGCGTTCAGCAGTGTTTATTTAAATACGAAAAAATGGACCGTGTAGGAGAAGGAAAAACTTTGCGAACGCATTTTCTCACGGAAAAAAGTTGCTAAATAAATTATTGTTTTATCGACAGACAGAGTAGAATCTATACTACTGTACATTTGGGCACAACCAAATAATTAACCACACACTTGCTTGTCTCTAATTATCAATTTGAAGTACCAAAGTTATACTACATACTAATCTGCTTTTAGAAACGTTTAGGGACTACCATAAAAGAAAAGGATGGTTGTCACTTTTTACTATTCATTTGAAGTAAATGATGTACTATTTCTCTTCTGTACTATAGTAGCTCTACGTACATATACGTACATGTGTTTCTTTTTGTCTGTTTTACTTGGATTTGTTTTTTCCTTATCCAATTATTTAATACGTTTACGAAATTCAATTTTAGATCAGAATTGATAAATGCGTCCTGAACATATTAAGACGAGTTACCAATCGATACACGATAAGGAGAATGCTGTAAATGGTACTTATTTTCAACGTGAATTGCAGTTTCATAACCAAAATCGTCCATCACACACAGTGGGCAGCCGGGCGGACATAAAACGAAAGCGTTATTTTTCAAAGTTTAAACTTTGGAATAATGACTTCTGTCTTTGATCTATCTTGTCCTGAAATAGCATTTTCAGAAATTAAGTTGTACGTTGGAAAAACACATACTAAGAAATTTGTTTAAAATCGCTATCCTCAGATAAAGTTAATTTTATGACCTACTTACTGGAATAGTTGAAAAACTATCTGAAAAGAATTATTCGTCTATGAGCTTCAGTTTAATGAAAAGATCATTTCGATTGAACTCAAACTACTACAGCAAAAATAATCTACTAGGCTGAAATTGAGTATCAAAAATGCATCATTCTGTATTTTGTAAACGCTACAAACAGCTAAAGTCCAATCGAGCTCAAACTTTCGCCAAATATTCCTCTATGTGTGCTCTACCATTAGCCATAGCGCCAATTAGCGCTAGTGCTTCTGGATTGTGCTGGAAATTTTCTAACAAACCATGGTTTTTGACATCAGATGTCTTTTTTTGCGACTAATATAACATTTTAGCACACAACCAACGTGATATTCAGAATTAGCTCTTCGAGCTGCATCGAACCATACATAACATTGATTTTCCAGAAAACATTTTTAAATTTTCTATGCTAAAAATGTTTCGGGAAATCCACTATGCAGCATTTTGTAAACGCTGCAAACAGCTTAAGTCCAATCGAGCTCAACCTTTCGTTCAATAGTCGTCTATGTGTGCTCTACCATTGACTATATCGCCAATTAGCGCCAGTGATTCTGCATTGTACTGATGGTTTTCCAAAAACCATGATCTTGGGAGTTCCAGGACTGGTCCTCGGCGGCTATTGTTAGCCTTGAGAATGCATGGACTATAGGCAATCGATCATGCTGAGCCTCATGGCAATATTTGATTTTAGAAAAATTTCTAAAAAAAGCTACCGAAAAGCGAGTTTTACGAAGCTGCGTTTTCAGGCTGTTTCACCTAATATTAAAAAATTCACTGACCACTCAATAAACATCAGAACAAGTTCAAAATTTCAAGGTATGCTTAATTTCCTCCGCTAAATGTGATTATACGATCGAGAAATCAGAAAAGCATGTTTTTGTTGTTGGATTTTGCAGAAACCCTTTTTTGGAAAACCTTAGGGTTTTATAACGTTTCTTTTGAGATCTCCTATAAACAGTACATAGAATAGCTCAAATACTCGATCTTCTGAAATTCCGAACTCGTTCTGATGTTTTTTGAGTGAATAATGAATCTTTCAATATTAGGTGAAAACAGCCTAAAAGACCCTGATTTTCGTAAAACTGGCTTTTCAGTAGATTTTTAAAGTTTTTCCTAAAGACAAATATTGACACGAGACTCAGCATGGTCGATTAGCCACATTCCATCCGTCTTCAAGCCTACCAATAGTCACCGGGCTCCAGTCCCGAGACTCATAGGAAATTCGATACAACGCCCAAACTCCGGAGCTCTCTAGCTCTTTTCTATCAAAAATTATTATTGAATTAATGGCTCATGTCCGCCTGCTCTAGCCAAAATTGCCCACTGTACCTCATAACCTTTATCAAGCATCAAAGTCCTTTAAGTGGCAATTGACAAATATGAGTGTACCTGATGACAATGCAGGCAACAGACTATCGAACGACAATTAGTGTACACCAAAACTCCAAAAGGAAGATGGTGCATGTTTCGTTAAGTTGGATATGAATATATCCATGAAAATAAAAGTTCGAATAAGAATAGCGCATTAGATTGTGTTTCTCCTTCCTCTTTCTCTCTCTCAGTGAAAGAATACCTGTTATGCTAATCCACTTTTAAACAAATGGTATAGATTGAAGTGACAAGACTTCTTTATCTTTCGTCTTTTGTACGGTATAGTATCCATTTCTTACTTCTTATACATTAAGAGAAGTAAATGATTTTTTCCACTAAATCATGCATGTTTCTTCACTAAAAGCGGAAAAAACCAACATTTATATATATATAAATAAATATATACATAAACAAGTACTACTTTCTCTACATCAGCAGATTCATTAACTGCCGCAATGGAAACGCATTTTGTTGCAGGTTCTGTAGTGGAAGAGCAAGGCTATAGTACATATTTATGCTTGCGTAAACAGGACATTGATATTATGGTTAAACATGGTGATTTGTATCGTCAAGATGAATTACTACCAGTCCTTACTCTCTCAATGACTCATCCAAAAAAGTATCGGGCTTTGTCTTTGTCAAATGGAATGCTGTGCATTTAAATTCACTGGAATATGCAGGTGGTCCTGACAATAACTTATATGTAAATGGTTATCAAATGAAAGAAAAATATTGCTCAACAATCCCGACAGTTTGTGGTTGGATGAAGTTCAATTTACAAACCTTTCTTGACTCCGCGAGTATACAAATGACTAGTTCAGATCACAACTATGACATGTTCGCCAATCAAATGCATGTAACATTGAAAAATTTAACTGTGTTGCGTAAGCAACGAAGAAGTATTAATGAAAGAAGTCATAAGTTTATGCATAATGCTAAAGGTATCAGAGATATTTGTTCACACATATGTCAAACATGTAGGCCGTTATTCCCATATGCATCTCAAACAATTTTGACCCCAAATCTTTTCGAAACAATGCTAGCCTTGTGCGGTCCAGCGTATGACGTCCAACTTTCGCAGGATAATTCTGAATAAGCAGCTGCACTAATCGATTATTATTTAAAGTATAAACATATACTGAATCATCAACAAGTTTTGAATGTCTGAAAAAGTTTTTCATCCAAGACCGCTGAATGTGACTTAGTACCATCACTACAATTACATTTTTGGCCAGAAGATGTTCAGCCGTTTTTAAACCGTTTACAAACAAATAAAATTTCATTGTATAATAAAATAAAAGATATTCATATGCATGTTATACCGAAACCATCACAAAAAACCGGCGAATGTTATAAACATCTCGAATTTCGTTATTCATTCTCAGCTGTTGAGCTTATAATGGCGAAACAACGTACGTATAGTGAACGAATATTAAATGGTATTGCGAGAAGTATCTATCATAAATATTTATATGGATTTATTCACTTATGATGTCACTGGATAGTCTTATTGTTGCTGCTGTAACATAATTGCCTAAATATTGAAACATGCATAGAAGAACTCTTTCATGAGTAATCGAACTGATTGTGCAAAAATAGCCGATCTAAGAAATCAGTGCTCTAGCTTATGCCAAAGTTCCGATGTAGCGTGTAAAATTTCGGAGAAAATCAATAGTTTCAGCCTATAAATGCTCTCACTTACATGTGCCCATATGTGTCACCGCCGCGGTGATCAGTTATACAGCGACGTATCTAGCACTAGGCTAAGGGCCCACCCTGCAGGAATTTCGTTTTCTTCATTTCGCAGTGGAAAATAATATTTTGATTAAAATCGAAAATAAAAATACTACACAAGAAGGGTTTTTACTGTTTTCTTTGGCCAAAAAACGTTAGTCCCACCTCTTACTGGAATCCTGGGTACGTCGCTGCTTTCGTACAAACAAGATCTTCCAGCGATGTCTCATTTCAGAGAAATGATCAAAGTTCTAAAAGCTCTCAGAAAAATCGTCCATTTTTGGATATTCCGTTTCGGCCTCCATTTTTCGTATAGCTTCTGATCGAGTAAATGAAATGAGCTCAAACTTTTCTTTCTAGCAGGACAAGGCGGTCTGTACATTTAATAAAATTTCACTTTTATCTGTTGCGTGGTTACCGGGATAGAGGGTGCACAAGTTAGAAAAAAGAAATTCGGTTAGATTTGGACAGGTGGTTCAGTTAAGATACCCAGGTGATTCAACGCGGCCCGTAAACGGCCGTAAAATCGATTTTCTGAAATACCCAGAATGGTTGAAAAGAAATAGCAGAATAACTCCTGTATATACAAAAGCATATGTCACACATGTCTCTGCAAGTGCCCATTCGATTCACCATAGTTGATAATCTCTAACGAACTATTCTCAGATTTTTCTTTTGTCGCTTTATCAAGGAGAAAAATTTGATTAGAGTAAAAAGTTACTCGGAAAATAAACAAAGAAAATTTCAAAAATTCGGATGTTCAAGCAAAAAGTCGTCGACTATATTTTGAGACCGTTCCGAGTCTGTATCATTTGGCTTGGTGAACAAATCTTTGCCACGCGAACTTTTAACCCTAGATATAACTCTTGGAATCACAAGGTTTCGAGTTCAAACTTTTAGTGTCATCATTCTAGAGTAAGACATATATTCTCTGAAATCTTTATCAAGTTCTGATGCTCTGGAATAAAAATAGCTGTTCGACTAAGGAGACCCTTAATCGACTCTACCAAATGGTTACTTACATCAAAAAGGATCTTAACTGAAATTCTCAAACGAACTACTTGCCACCCAACGGATGAAATGTATTATCGTGGCTAAGCGACTCATGTGGATATTTCGAAACTGATCATACCATTCTGTCTGGTATTTGAAATAATCGTCAAAGTCAAGAATTTAACTTTCTTCGTTAAATCAAAATATGTCCTCACTTTGTAGGTAATTAGTGTATCCAGCAATAATAAGGAAGCGAGAAACGAATGATTACAAGATTATTAAACAACTCTTATAGTAAACAAGAAGCTTGCATAACATCGTACTTTATCAAAACAACCGTTTTATGGCTGTGTGAAACGGAAAATATTGATGCTATTAACGAACAAAATTATGGTCTATTAACAAAGCAATTAACTGCACAATGGATAACATTTGCATGTTCAAAATTGCGTAATCACGTATGCGAACATTATTTTCTTGTAGATATTAATATTTTATCTGCTTATTCACATAAAACATTAGATCAAGCATGCAGTATACTTGAAAACTTATCATTTGATGTTGAAAAATCTGTTTTTCAGCCTGTGGTAGAAGATAAAATGCAATATATAGATAATGCAATACAATATATAGATAATGCAATACAATATATAGATAATGAAATGATCGTTTACGAAAATCTTCCAGCGTTGATCAATGATGAAATGAATGCAGCCAATGACTACGCAAAATTAAGACAGAGATTGTTCCCAAACATGATGCAAGCAGAAGATAAGTATCAATTTTCTGATACACTTTTATTCATGTCTCTGTTCGATGGTGATAATAAAAATAATTGGCTTACATGGAAACAGTTATTAATCGACTATACCGAATGCAATCAATCACCAGTTTTTAGTGAAAGTAAATGTGAAAGTATTGGCTTTTTGTCCTGGCTCTTATAGCCTCAGGTACGTAACAATTTGCTTCACCGATACCATTCTTGACATGAGCTATTAATATAGAGAGACGTGAGGAATTTGTTTGCATGTAAAATTTTAGGATGCTTTCTCCCAACGATAAACGATCACATCCATAATACCAATGAAAATTCTATAGGTAATACTCATTTTGACAGCAGCTTACCACTACTGGTGGATCTTCTTGAAAAACAAAATCTACACCATTTATGTCTGGGTTCTTCGACTTTACTCGAAACGAATTTTCAACATGGCCAAGTTTTAGAAAACCATCCAGGTGGTCCAGAAATTGAGGCGTTAGATGAAGACACTAGTTTGAAGACATATTATGACTCGTATTTTAGGACCATTTCTAGCGCAAATGAGAAAGAGAATTCTCCATTCCAAGATGGTAAACAATTATCAGTACCGATGAAAATACCACATATTCTTACAGTTGCCCTTGGTTTAACTCATGCGAGCTTATTGTTTAAGCATCGTAAAATACTCACACCGAAGGATTCCTCTTACTTCCAATTGCCATCTAACTCACCTGGGTCTCCTCATGCTAATCTATTAAAACTCATTCACAATACGATACCACTGTTGAAGAAAGTAAAATCAGAATTTGAAGAGACATTAAAAATTCTCGAAGCGCCAAATAGAACAGAATATACAACAATAGAACGAATACAAAGTCCCAAAACACAGTTTCTTGCCACTCCGGTTCAATCACAACATCACAGTTCAGTTTCCCTTCCTAAAATAAATTTTCCAGTCAAAAAGTTAGAAAAGGAAAAGGTGCCATTAATATTAAAACCGAAAGTACCAATCTCTTTACAGGTAATCTCAACTTTACGAAAAAGCTTACACTTCCTGTCAAGATCATGCTGACCACGAAATATCAACAGTATCGTTATGTGTTTGATGCTGGAGAATAGAATCTAAACTTTGTCATTCAATCTTTTGATTAGTCTCACACATGGGATTGCTGACATAGACGGCTATACTTCAAGACTAAAAAATAATAGAACACCTTCCCCTATTATAAGATCACTGCCGATTATATGGCTTAAAAGCCAAATAGAAGACTACTGGTCTTCTATTCTGTCTGCCAAAAGAGATCGGAATATGCCCTATACAGCGGAATTTTCAAAAAAATTTCGCCAAAATGTTTTTCTAGGAGCTATTGCACGAGAAAAACGACATATTACCATAAGCCCATGCTCAATCGATGTCTTAGGTTTGCTTCTAACTAGTCCTATCTTGTTCAGCATGTATGAAAACCTATAATCCAAAGTTTGAGCCTTCTAGAACTTTTACTCTCTGAGTTCTGGACGATTTTCTAGAATCCGCTCGATGAAAAATTCAGCGGGGAGAGGGGGGCGGAGGGGAGACGGTTATTGATACTCGATAAGACCGTGAGTAGTCATTTTGTATAAAGTCATCTTATGTGTTATTCTATATATTGACGCGAACTCTTTCTATATATAGGTGGCTGATTATTTCTGTAACATACCAGAATTATTTGTACGTGATCCAGTTGAACCGATTAGTTGGTATGTCGATGACGATGGTTGTGAACCGTCTCCGACAACTAGGCAACTATTTCAAGTGCGGGCTTTAATTACTTTGCCGCCTTTGTCCTCTATGTCAATCGGAAGCAGAGTTTATAAAACGAATGGCAAAGAAGAGTGCCGGGATGATTGGGAAATTCGTGTACATGAAGCCGATAGTCGTTTATATTACGTTGTACCGAATATTCGATACACAAGATGGGTGAGCGATGTTCTTTGTCCGGGAGTAGAAGAGTGAATTGATGAAAAAGGCAGAGTTTATTTTGTTTCCGGAACTCTATCATCCTGGGTATTAACATCTTACGATCATTTATGTAATAAATGTCATTTGTTTAAACAATATAGTAGAGAGATCCGTTATCTTTCATTAATAAACGACAAGCCCAATCTTACGATTGTTTATGGAGAAATGGCAGATGACTATGAGCCGTCAGCAACACAAAGAAAGTACCCCTACGGCTGCCAGCACCATTCGTTTCCCTACGACCACAGCTATACCGTTGACCATATAAAGAAATGTAAAAAGTTTGTTTATTCGGAGACAGCAACCTCGAAAAAGGTAAATGACCTACATGCTAGAGTAACTTGATAAGTTTTCTAATACTGAAAATCTCAAAAGCAATAACTGACAGATGTGACGCGATCTATAATTAGGAGAATAGTTTCACTATAAATCGAACAAAAAGTAGGAGCAGTATTTGACAGTGATAGAGCAACCGAGCAGAGAAGCTATACATTGGGTTCAATTCACAGTTGAGGCATATTTTTTCTTACAAGATAAATGACATAATTTAGAAACCTGTGAGCGCAAACTATAACCTATCAGTCTGTTGCAATGGGTTGTTCACATGATTGCCTAATTGTTCAGAAAATCTGGTGTGATCGCTAAACCAACCAAAAACTATCATACGCTACGAGAATTTTTTCAAACTCTGAAAAATTCTAAATTATTATGCAGCGCACTAACAAACAAATCAAGAATAGCTAAGTCGGTGATGCTATTTTCACGCAGTTATTTTCTCTTCAAAGGTAAACTTCATACATACAACTTACACGATGTATCGACAATTACCTTGGAAAATTCAAGCATTTCGGCACATGTGCAAAACTAATGCCGCATATGATCAATTAAGAATAATTGTACGTCATGATCATTTATATAAAGATTCCTTTAAACAAATAATGCATTGTGAACCATCACAATTACGTTGTAGAAAGATAACTGTTGAATTACAAGGTAATTGCTTGATTTTAGAATTGATTTCATTTAACCTAGCTTTTCCTTTATCTCGACCAATAGGTGAGACGTGTCTATGGGATCATGACGAAGCTGTACGTCAGTGGTTTATTACTTTAACTCGTGGATTATTTTCTTTTAACATGAAATTGTTTACACGACCATATTCAACCCAGTTCCCTATTGATCTATCATACCGTACATTAACAGATTATTTGTTGATGTATAGGTAAGTACCTTTCTCCAGATACAGTAAAATATGAACTAACATCATTCATTTGGTCCTCTGAATATTCATGTCTGTCACTAATCGACTTTCAGTCTATATGCGAGTCTTCATTTTCTTACAAGTAACGCTCATCTTATACCATTTAGTGAAAGAAACGAACTAGACCTTTGCAACAGGAAGAAAACACCTTAGATATGTCTCGCGTCGATCTTCGGAACTGTTATGTGCGGTTCCAGTAATGGCAAAAAAATCATTATTACATAATATACAGACAGTAGAGACCTGTACACGGTAAGAAAACATAACCCGAACCTGGCCCGACCCATCAACATCTGAACCCGATAACTTTTTACTCTTCTTTACCGATTTCAACTTTTTTGTTTCGTTCTTAACTTTATGTCTTTTTATATACTTATTTGGTTAGCGGAGGACATCGCATTACATTCGAGTGATCTTTGGTGATCTGTTATATTCGGTAAATAAATAGTTAGCTTAGTGGAATCTAAGGGTTCGACCGAAATCATTTCTTTTGTTGAATTCTTTCGAAGTTTTTATTTAAAACTTCCTATCGTTTTATCTTAGTGTTCACCAAAGACATCAAAACCCTCGGTGCTTCTTTGGCTAAAAAGCAGGGCTGGGCAACTCCGCCGAAGTTCAACTCCAACTCAACTCTAACTCTAATTCCGTTTTTAAATTTGCGATCCAACTCCAACTCCGTTTCAACTCCGGTTGTTTTTTTTTCTTTTATTTCAGAGACAAATGTTAAGAAACAACAGTAATAACACATAAAACTGAAACTTCTTCAAAGTAACAAATGAAAGTTACATTTGAAAAATGTCAGTTTTGACAACATTGTTTTTGTTAGAGAGGCCCTTTGTGTTCTCATTAAAAATCCACTGTGACTGAACACCCGCTCCACCGGCGCAGATGTGGCTGGAACGCTCAGCAATTTAATTGCTAGTTCGTAGAGCAATGGGTACGATGATCGTTGATCGAGGATATGTCCCTTGCTGTCGTCTTGTAAATATTGAAATATTTCGGCTTCGACTTGTAGACGCGCATCGACTAGTTTCGACTTCTTTTTTTCATTTAACGAACAATAAGAAAATAAACTTTTTCTTTTGTGCTTGAAAATGTTGTCAGCATCATCGATGTTTTTCTCGCCACCAATGTCTATTTTGTCACCACCGCCTTTTTCATTTGTTGTCGACGGATTGTGTTCTTGGTGCAATTGAACGGCGAGTTCACAAATCATTTTTTTAATGTTTTCACATAGACGAGTTTTCACGGCGTCCGACAATATTGACGATGATATCCAATTCAGTTTAAAGTTCGCGTCGAGGAATGGCGTTAGAAGAAAAATTTTGTCTTTGTACAAATCCGACATTTCCTTCTTCTTAAGATTGGTCGGCAATTGTATGTCAAAATATTCAAGCATGCCACCGAATCGTTCAATCAATGACTGAATCAGTCGTTTGCACAATGACGACGTGTAAACACAATTTTTTAATTCGTTTTTCAAATCAAAATAAATGACAATGATACTCGGTGCAGCCATGCTAATCGACGGACCGTTTTGGGATTGCGTTCGACTTGTTGCTTCGGCGAGTAAACACATCAATGATAGAAATTCTTTTAGCACCGCTTCATCTTTTTGTGTAATGCACAAAAAATCTTGTTTCAAATCTCGCAGATATTGATTCAACATTTTCAACGGTATTTGCATTGTTTTTGAAACGGTGTCGTATTGACTGTTCCATCTCGATTTGACCGCTCTCGGTATTGAATATTTGTTGTCTTGCAATATTTCGGCAAATTTAGTAC